ATAATATTAACTTTAAAATGGTGTTTAAAAAATTAATAGCTGCTTTTATTCTAGCTGAAATAAAAAAGACAAAATATTATCAGACATGCTGTGAAAATTTCCTTGCCCTGTTAAACATGATTTGGGAAATATTTAAAAAGGAAAAAAAATTCAAAGGGAGCTAATAATTCTGACTTCAAATGTACATGCACACACAAACATACATACACACACATAGATATACATGCATTTTCTTACTTGGGTAATATTAATAATATTAATTTTAAAACACAAGAATGCATACATTAAAAGATATGGATGTGAAAGCAAAAATAAACATGCTTTACGCTTGTCTGATTCTGGTCATTTAACTGTTTAGTCGACGCGGCTAAATCTCTGGTAGACAGGGCATTGTCTTTATTGGCACCTTGATTGTGGAAATCTTTACCCTCTGATATTCGCAATGCTGAATCCCTTAGTATTTATAAATCATCTCTTAAAACTTACTTTTGTAAGGTAGCTTTCATTTGATTTTATTAGATTTTTATTAGATTTTATTACTATTATTATTATGCAACGAGTTTTTAATTATTTGTATCATTACTTTTTTGCATTCATCCTGGTATGTGTCTTTTACTGCTGCACATTTTATATGGAGATGTTATTTTTAAAGGTGCTATTTAAAAATAGTTTATTATTATTATTATTATCTAAACAGAGCATTATGTTGCCCAACAGCAGCAATATTTGTCAAACTGTAGTGTGTTTATTGATCTGCTGTCACTCTATACGGGTGGAGTAATACAGAATGGTGAGGCTGTACGAGTGCTGATATTGCAGAATATTACATGGCTATCAGCCAATCAGATTCGAGAACCAGACAGAACTGTTGCATAAAAAGAAATATATATACATATACAGTTGAAATCAAAATTATTAGCCCTCTTCAAATTATTTTCCTCTTCTTTTTTAAATATTTTCTAAATTATGTTTAACAGAGCAAGGACATTTTCACAGTATGTCTGAGAATATTTTTTCTACTGGAGAAAGTCTTATTTGTTTTTTGATTTCGGCTAGAATAAAAGCAGTTTTAAACTTTTTAAACACCTTTTTAGGGAAAAAATTTATTAGCCCATTTTAGCTATATTTTTTATGATAGTCTACAGAGCAAACCACTGTTACAATAACTTGCCTAATTACCCTAACTTGCCTAAGTAAACTAATTAACCTAGTTAAGCCTTTAAATGTCACTTTAAGCTGTATAGAAGTGTCTTGAACAATATCTAGTCAAATATTATTTACTGTCATCATGGCAAAGATAAAATAAATCAGTTATTAGAAATGAGTTATTAAAACTATTATGATTAGAAATATGCTGAAAAAATCTTCTTACCGTTAAACAGAAATTGGAGAAAAAATAAATAAGTGGTCAAATAATTCAGGGGGGGTAATAATTCTGACTTCAACTTCCCACAAATCTCTTATTTAATATTTTCTATAGGAAGATTTACAATATTATAGTTGTGCATATACATTAGTTTAGTAAGTACTGAAGCAAAATCTTAAACTAATCTAACAAAACACCTTTCAATATTGGTTATAAAATTAGTAGCCCAACTTTATATGTTATGTGAAAATAATACAGATATTTTTTTCAAAATAGCAAAAGTCGAGAGAAACAAAAAAAATATATAAAATTTTGTTGAAATGTTGTAGTTTGTAATTTTTTTCAATATTTTACATCAATTTAATAAATATATCTGTTTAATAAATATGTTTTCTTTAAATGCACCAATATATATTACCCAAATTCACAGAGAAATGAATAAAAAATATTCATTTTCAAAAAAAATATATACTGTGTATATATATATATATATATGTAGATGGCATGTTTTCAGGCATGTTTGAATTAATATTGTTTAATAAATGCTGTGCAATTTATTTTTTGTTGATAGATGTTAATACACACATAAACTAATTTAACAGAAATGTAAAATCTAAACAAAAAAGTCTGTTAAACTGACCGAAGATTCAACATTTCCCCAAAACATTTAAGCCGAAGGAAGTTCATCAAACTCCCATCTAATTTGAGCTTCTGACATCTGTTTGTGTGTGTGTGCGTGTGTTTGTTTGTTTGTGTGAGTGTGTGCATGTTTGCGTGGTGTTGGTTGGTGTGTATGTATGTTTGTGTCTGCATGTACTGTATGCGTTTATGTAAGCGCATGCATGTGTATGTATGTTTGTGTATGCATGTGTATATATGCGTGTATGTGTGAGTGCATGTGTGTGTATATATATGTGTTGCTGCTGATGTCTTGGACTCGTCTCAAGGGCCCGTTGGTGACCCCGGGGACGTGTGCACTTGTGTTGAACTTGCACACAGATGCTGTTTGGGGGCTCTCAGCTGGTCTCAGCCCCCTTGTTTTGTCTGAAACATGTGCTTGATTCATTATTAGATTTCCGGGAAGCAGGAGTGTTTGCATTAGGAGAGCATTAGAAGTGGCATCTTTTATGTCCCGGAATCTTGTGTAAAAATAGACCCTCATAAAAGACTGACAAAGAATAACATGTTTACAGCAAACCTTCCACTGAATCATTCAATCATGCAACTGTTCAGTCTCCATTAGTTTTATGGGTTTATACTCAGTGTTTCATCTTGAAGGGTTAGTTCACCCAATAATGAACCTTCTGTTATTATTTACTTATCTGCTTTCTTTCAGGGTGAATAAGCCTTTTTTTATAGAGTGAAACGAGTTGCAGGGTCTGTAAAAGCTCCAAAACATCATTATAAATGAAGCTGATACCGTAAGTATATGCATAGATGCAATGCTAAGTTGTGGGTTTGATTCCTAAGGCCCCGTTTACGCGAATACATTTTAATTTTAAAACGCATAAGTTTTGCTACGGTTACGCCATCCGTTTACACTACGCTGGAGTTTTTGAGCGCTGAAAGCGGAGCGTTTTGGAAATGCTGAAGAGGCCGTTTTAGTTTGAAAACGCTGCTGCTCCGTCTCAATTTGGATGGGGAAAATGGAGACATCTGAAAACGGAGTCGGGGCCGCTGACCATCTCCTCTCTGATTGGGGCTTTTTCCTCAATATTAAATAGCCTGCACACAGTTCAGTCTTGCATCCTCTCCTTGTAAGCTCAGACTTCAAAAGTTTGATATGAAAACAAACTCCAGTGGACACATCGGGTAAATCTTCAAAGGGAACAGTGTACTGTATAACGTCTTTCACACCACACTGACTACGTTGTTTCACTTTCTTAACATCCATCATTCATTCATTCATCTTTTGCCGCTTTTCCGTGGCTGGGTCGTGGGGCAACAGGCTTAGGAGAGAACCCTAGGCTTCCCTCTCCCCAGACACGTCCTCCAGCTCCTCCGGGGGGATCCCGTGGCGTTCCCAGTCCAGCCGAGAGACATGGTCCCTCCAGCATGTCCCCGAGGCCTCTTCCCGGGGGGACATGCCTGGAACCCCTCCCTAGGTAGGCGTCTTGGAGGCATCCGAAACAGATGCCCGAGCCACCTCAGCTGACTTCTCTAGATGTGTAGGAGCAGCGGCTCTACTCCGAGCTCCTCCCGGGTATCAGAGCTCCTCACCCTACAAGAGTGCGCTCTGCCACCCTTCGAAGGAAACTCATTTCGGCCGCTTGTATCTGAGATCTTGTTCTTTTGGTCATGATCCAAAGCTCATGACCATAGGTAAGAGTAGGAACATAGATTGACCTTTCGGCTCAGCTCCTTCTTCACCTCAATGGACCGGTACATTGACCGCATTACTGCTGCTGCTGCACCAATCCACCTGTCAATGTCACGCTCCATCCTTCCCTCACTCATGATCAAGACCCCAAGATACTTAAACTCCTCCACCTGGGGTAAGGACTTTCCTCCAATCTGGAGATGGCAAACCCTCTTTTCCCGGTGGAGCACCATGGCCTCGGACTTGGAGGTGCTGATTCTCATCCCAGCCGCATCACAGTCGTCAGCAAACCGCCCCAGTGCATGCTGAAGGTCCATGTTTGATGAAGCCAACAGAACAACATCATCTGCGAATAACAGAGATGAAATCCTGTGGTCCCCGAACCGGACCCCCTCCAGCCTAAGGCTGCGCCTTGAAATTCTGTCTATAAAAATTATGAACAGAACTGGTGACAAGGGGCAGCCCTGCCGGAGTCCAACATGCACTGAAAACAAGTCTGACTTTCTTAACAATAAACTGAAAACATGATATAAGCAACTACCTATTTACATTTTGATATCAGCAACATAACAGACACCAAAAAGGTTGAGGCGTCATGTAGCTGCATATTTATATGAGCGTCATCTTCATGCATATTTATAACAAAACGAAGCCTATAACAGAACTGCCTCCTTTCATTTTCACTGAAAAGATGAAACATACAATCTCTTTCACTGAAATATCGGTTTTATTAATCAATAATGACCATTATAAAAGTATAACATCCATCAAGTTTATGCAATGTAGGAAATAAAGGCAATCAATCAGTCAGCTATACAGAATTAGTGTACGCGGTTACAATAATACAGCCAATACATTACCTGAGAACAAGTAATAGATTCAAAAGACCAAAATCGGGTAATATGTTGTTAAATATAGACAACAAGTTGAATAAAGCGAGATTAGATCCAGCAGGAGATCCTTGATGAATAGTGCATAGCTCTCATATCACACCTGCCAACACAGGTGCATGCAAACTGAAGAGGAGGGTGTGGGTATGAAGATGGTTGCATGTTCACATGGGGACCGGACTGTATCAAAATGCTAGCGGGGGTGAGGTGGGGAGGGGTAAAATATATATATTTAATTTTTTATTATTAGTATTTTTTTGCTCGACAAGGTTTGAATTGGTTTATCTTCATGAACAGAAATCTATCTATATATTAGCTTATTAGATCTTTTCATTTGTTTACATATTTACATGACATCTGAAGTCATACCCTCGTGTCTTATGGATGTTTGCAGGAGTGGACAGACGGCTTGCGCTCATTGATTCAGAACACAAGAGCGAATAACGTGTGTCCGATGACCTGCCTGAGAAAACAGTGAGTCTCACATGCTTCATTAATTATTACAAGGTGACAATAAATAGCAGAAAAGAAAAATATTTAAACAATTATTCAGGTCGGCTAGGTAGGTAGGATAATGGTGAAAGGACAACAAAATACAACTTCAATCGACTTGTATTTTATTCCAAAATGTGCATGTGTTGTGAGGATTTGTGGCGCAGTTTCTTTTTGTTTTTGTGTTGTGAGGATTTGCAACACTTGTGCTGTCAAAACAATATAGATGTTTTCTTAAAGGAGTTAGTTCACCCCAAAATTTAAATTCTGTTAATTTACTCCTGTTAATTTACTCACCAACAGGTTACCTTTTATTCCTTTAGTACAACATTAAAGAACTTTTTGAGCTGAATCCTTGGTGCTTGGTGATTGATATGATGGTAGTGAATGGTGACAGATTTATTAGATTCAAAATAAAAACATACAATTGGGCCCAAATCAATAGCCATGGCAAGCGCATGGTCCAGCGCATCCTTCGCTGCACCTCTCCAAAAATGTAACTACACATTGCAACATCGCATAGCGCGAGCTCTTTGATTGGTCGGCTTGGTAGCTGTGACGAGTGTGGGCGGTGCTGAGAGCCGTGAGACCGATGGAGTGAGGGTTTACGAGTGTGGATTCCCGTGAGGGAGCTTCAGATGGAAACTGGTTGACTGCCAATTCCCACCTCTGAATGAGCCAGTTTAGCTACTTGTACATTAAGGTAGCATTCAGAAAAAACAAAACACCCGCAAAGAAATTTATTTATTATTTTATAAATTTATTATATTATTTTCTTAATGAGTTATAGGTGTGTTTTGAGAATAAACCAATCAGAATCTCATCTCCCATTGCTTTTAAGATCCAGTTGCGTCACGCCATAAGTGCATTTGCTATTTGCTAAGCGGCAACCTCCCGCTCTCCCTCAGGAAGCCAATACGGAAGTAACTAAAACTGCAATTCATCCGAAATTCCACTAGTCCTGGCCGCTCCTGGCTCCAAAACAGAGCAAATTTCAATTGAACCCACTGTTAGAAAGGCCAACTTTACAGCAGAAAAAAAGGTGTTTACAGCCTGGTACAAAAAAAGATTTTGGTTAATACAGGTAATATTACCCTTCATGACAACTGTGAGGGGGGTGAATTTTTTTATAACTCATCCGTTTCCTTTATATTAAGTTATATTAAGTTTGCATAATTAAGGGCGTGGCCACTTGAGTGACAGCTAGGTCTCGTTGGTCGCCGTCACGTCACCTCAGCTGAATCCTGCAGATTAGCCTCTGAACTCTGCATATTTATCGTATTTCTGTGTTGTTTTATGTGGCTTTACACAGTCAACTGCCTTTTGGACTTGTTTCCTACAATTATTAGATGGCATGGCATGCTGAGTGCACTTAATTGTGCTCACAAACCATTCACGTGGCCTCCGTTTCCCAT